TAGAACTTACTGGAGAGACCAAGAAATTATTTTAAAACTTTTGGATTTTAAGAAGTCTACAGATTTCAAAGTGCAGGGAGACACAAATGTCAAAAACAAAATCATCTGAGGAAATTGGACCCCGGGGGGCAAATAAGCAGTCACACCCTTGCCCCAGGATCTAGAACTCAGGCCCAGACCTGCAAATCCTGAACAATGCAAATCCATCTCTCTTCACATTTTCCTGCCACTAATTAATCAATTAATTAATTATATGTGTCACCAAACGTCTTTCAACAGATCAGCTTTGCCACATAGGTTCACAAAAGAGCTTGGAACAGAGGATTATTTGAGTTCAATTTATGTCTTTGCAACTTTAGTCATTTATTTATATTCCCAAACCTTAGTTTCTTATCAGAAAAATGGGAATAACAATTCTCCCATAGTACTCTTTGAGGGATAAAATGTAAAAAAAGGACCACTACATATTAGTATTATCTTTGTGGAAACTGCTTTTCCTCCTGAGGCCACAGCTTATCAGCAGGTGCAGTGGTCAGGAAGATAAGAGGGCCACCAAGTGAAGAATAGTGAGGACAAGCTGGGACAGCCAGGCACTTCTTTATCTGTTCATCTCTGAATCTGGAGGACTTCCATTTCTATATTTCCACCAAGTTCCTCTCTTGACCGGCCCTAAGGGAAATGGGACCAGAAGGAGATTCGGGAAATTTAGCCCCAAGCTTAACCAGGTTGTCAGTGGGCAGAATTCAACACAAAAAGCATATGCAGGAAAATCAGGTAGGAAACTATATTATAGAAGTTCATGGAAGATATGACCAGGGGAGGCAGAAAAAAATGACTAGAAAGACAGAAAATAAAATAAAGAGGACTTAATTCACTAAACAAATATAAAGAATTCATTTTTAGAGTTAATATTAGCTAAAATTAAAATATAATCACATACATATGTCATAATTTAAAACAATAATTTATAAAAGTATAATAATAATTCAAACTAGCATTATCAAAGCCTACATATTGGAGGAGTCCTTTGCTATTACGGCAAAGCTTATTATTTCTAACAAGAACACATTCAACTGACAATGTCACTTTGAATTATTATTTTAAAATTTTCAAATGTGAACATATTTTTCATTTGAAATGCTACCACAACTTTTTAGAAGAACAGTTCTTAGAGATGATATGCAACTTGAGCCCCTTCTAATAGGTTTCCTCATCAGTGTGAAAAATTATGCCAGATTTTCACTTGTAAAGATTCTTCTTGTATTTGGAGGATGGAAGACCTATGAGGTCAGCAGTCAAAAGTAAGACCTGCTTGGGATTTTTGCTTTCCAGAAAATTTGAGGCAATTGAGAAATCCTGCCCTCTTTCCTCCAACCACTGAAAAGTCAAATCTCATCAGAACTGCTGCTGATCCCCTAATGCATCCTAGATGCCAACAACTTATTGAGGTTTCTCTATTTGACTCACAAGAAAAATGAGCCGTAAAGGGCACAGGAGAAAAAGATCTTCCTAGCTTCATCTAAAAATAGCAAAACCAACAGCTTTAAATGTAAACCCATGTAAGCATCAAACACTTTCTCGTAAGTGATACCTCAGGCATAAAGGAAGTGTCACCGGATTGAGAGTCTAGGTGTCCAACGCTTGTTGTCCTGCCTTTGATACTAATTAGTCACTTCGTCCCTCTGAAAACTTACTTGCTCACCATTCAAATGAGGGAACTAGACCAGAAAATCTCCACTTTTCTTTTTGTTGGGGAAGTCTACTACTGCCCATAGATAATAGGTTCAATAAATTCCATCCACCCTCTGAGCAAACATAATGCAGAAAGTCTCCAAAACTTTTTCTACTGCCTGTCTATGGCCACAGCCCCTAAAGTCTCTATACACATACAGCTTCACACTTTGGCATCCTGTTTTTCTTATTAGAAGTCATAGAGGTTTGGGGCATCTGGGTGGTTCAGTGAGTTAAGCGTCTGCCTTCAGCTCAGGTCATGATCCCAGGGTCCTGGGATCAAGCCCCACGTCGGGCTCCCTGCTTGGCTGGGGAGTCTGCTTCTCCCTCTTCCTCTCCCTCTGCCCCTGCTCATGTACTCTCTCACTCACTATCTCAAATAAATAAAATCTTTAAAAAATAAAAAAAGAAGTCATAGAGGTTTAAAGTTGGTTTCTTTTTTTTTTTTTTAAAGATTTTTTATTTATTTTTTGACAGAGAAAGACACAGTGAGAGAGGGAACACAAGCAGGGGGAGTGGGAGAGGGAGAAGCAGGCTCCCAGCAGAGCAGGGAGCCCGATGGGGGGCTCGATCCCAGGACTCTGGGATCACGACCTGAGCCAAAGGCAGACGCTTAATGACTGAGCCACCCAGGCACCCCTAAAGTTGGTTTCTGATAAGACATTTTCTCAAGACCCCAAGACTACTAACAATATTAAACAATAGCCCCTTTCATCTGCAGGTCCTCAGTCATTACCTACAGTGTTCATGACATTGACATGGACAGTTTCACTTGAATATCAGTGGTAACCCTGTACATAATCAGTGGATAGAGCTGGTGACATTATAGGTATTTTCTAAAAGAAGGTACTACAGGCCAAGGAGATTAAATAGGTTAGCAAAAGCCAACTAGACATCATGCCTCAAGACCCATGGCTTTATTACGTTCCTTTGTCATAACCTATTGAGGTATTTTTTAGATTTTAATGTCTATCAGAGAGCAATAATTTTGCAAGGCACAAAAATTGCATAGGATAATTAGAAACAAGATTCATAATACTAAGGTGTTGTACCATTATTGTTCACTCAAGCAGGCTGGTGGCCAGTGTCAACTCATTGACCAAGAAGTCAGTTTGTGTCGGTGGAAACAGAATTACGTCACTGTACCTTGATAAGAATTGCTAGTGTACAAGTTTACCGACACATGATATATGTACTATATGAGAGGGAGCAAATATAAATGCCTTCAGGAACCAACCGACCTTAAATTACTCAAGGGGAATGCTGTAAAACAATGAGAAATGAGGACCGTGGTGAACTAGACACCTCCAGCCCTTACTCCCATACAGCCTCTGGCTGCTGTTCTGAGAATGCAGACCCACTATTTCCAGATCTTCTGAGCTTTCAAGAGAGACTGGATTCTTCAGTGGAATCTCCCGATTTTCAAATGTTGGAAACTAATTCAATTTTTTATGCTGTACAGGAAAAGAAAAAAACACACAAACACCACTAGCCACATCTACAGGTCAGATTAGGCCAGCAGATCACCGATGTGTAGCTTCCATTGAATAGCGATGTTAACATAAGAAAATATTTGACTTGCTAGCCCCATAGGTTTTGGGATAGTGGAACCAAAACTGAGTCCTGAGGAACTAGAATCATGTCAAAGTAAAGGACTACCGTATAATTACCAAGCATAGGATGAAGACCAAAGTCCTGAAGGAAGTGTTGGCCTAAATTTCCACCCCTCATGCCTCTGACTCAGCCACAGAGAATGACTTCGTAGTTCCTGAGTAATAGATGTGGTCTGTCGCTGCCAGGCCTTTGCACATGCCAGTCCTGATGCCTGGATAGCCTCCATACGCTCCCCGCACTTTTATCGGTTTGCTTATCTCCATGCTCCAGATCTCAGTTCAAGGCCGTCTGTTCCAGGTATCAGTTAGCAACTCCACACCAACCTGACGCTTTGCAGGGCTACGCTCTACAGTTTGTAAGTCACACAGTACTGTGTGGCTGTCTTTTTGCATTTCTTCCTGTTGATCCCAGAAGGTCCTTGGAGGCAAAAATCTCTGTTTGATTAGAGTTTGTGGTCTCAACTTTAAAAATGCTATCTGGCACATAATTGGTGCAGAGTATTTCTTAAAAGAATGTATGCTAAATAATAATGTAATAAAGAACAAAAAAAATAATAATAATGTAATAAAGATATATTTTATAGACTTTCAGATAACCAATTTGAAAGGTAAAATATTATTCCAAATAGAAAAGTTACAACACTTCTATTTTAAGTTTACAGATCCTTCTGAGAATAATTTCGTATCTATTCCTTAAATTATAAGCTAAAGGCAGGTACTTTCCCTTTCCTCCTGCCCTAAAGGTAGATATGATGCTGGATTGATGGCAGCCATCTTATGACTATAAGGATAAGGCTAAGAGAATTGTAGAGGTGTCAGACCTGATATCATTGAATCATTGAACTAACTCTGCCATCCAATAATGTCTGGACTTCTTGTTAAAAAAAAAAAAAAGCACTGTTTTATTTTGTTTAATTCTAAGCTAAAGCACTTTAAAGAATGGCAGCATTTACTGAAGGAAAGAGCATTATTCTAAGAGAAGAGATCTGTTCTGGTCGAGGTGAATAAAAGATATGATTCCATATGTGAATTAATAAAGAATCTTAGAGGGGAAAACTACACATAATGAATTAAATTATAATTACTTGTTCTCCTAACAAATGCATGTTCACCCAAAGTTAGTCATTAAATTGAAAAGGTATTTTATTCCAACAGAAAATGAACAGACTTTAAGAACCAGGGCATTTGTATATAAAGCAAAGAATTAGCTCCACCGGACTAAAAAATGAATAAATGATAAATGAATAAAACAATGGGGCAAAAGAGTAAGGGAAAAATCCATACAATAACTTTAACCACCTTTTTCCCAGCAGAATATAATGAATAAAAACACCTCCATTGTTACTCTAGAGTCACTGAACATGGAGTTTTTATAAAAGATACTTACACTTGAATAAAATACACTTGAAAAGGGGAAATTTTTAATATGCCAACTTTCTTATTTTATCAAGACTTTCATTCTAAGTTATACAATTTTTAGCTCAAATTTCAAATAATATTTGCAAATGAAAGCTAACCCAAATGGAGTTGGATTTTCTTTGTTCTGTTTAAAACAATTCCCAACAACTTGTTAAACTATGACTAAGGCAGTGTGACTCAAGTACAATATTAGAAAAACATAAGTGGTAAAAATATTAAATAGTTTTTCTAGGAGAGTAGTAAGATGAGTAAAAAGCATGATTCAAACAGTCTGAATGGGGGAGGACATTACCACTAGCTCCATTTTCTGTCTTCAAATCACCTGCATCTTGAAATAACAGGGTCCTCATCTGAAATCAAAGGATGAGTCAGGATAATCCAAGGTACCTTTGAGATAATCAGAGGTTGTTGACAAGTGAGATATAGAGATTTCAAAAATAAGGAGGCTAAATGAAGAAAAATGAGCCAAATGCCAGGAATCCTCATAGAAGATGAGTAATCAGATAAATGCGGTTATCGATAGAGATGTGATTAAAGCATAAGTTAAACAATGGGGCAATGGAATGGAAAAAAGGAGACAATGTATCCAATTAGGGCAAATAAGCCAATAAAAGGGTAGACTTCAAGAGGGTCAGCCTAACTTTGAGATTTGATTGGCAAGATATGTACCTTATTTCGTACCTTAAGATATGTACCTTATATGGCAAGATATGTATCATATGGTAGTAAGTGCTGAGATCAAAAGGGTTCATTTCCGCATTAAAAGGCCACATTACAATTTGCATGGATTTTGTTAAATTTCAGAGGGACCTCAAAGTACTCAATACCAAAACATATTTTTCCTTTCAAAATACACTCTTTAACAGCACTAAAGTGGAATCACTTGCAAAAATGGTTTAATCAAAATCCCAAATGCTAATTGGTAAATGTGTTATCTGCAAGCATCACTTAGAAGGCATATTTCACCGAAGTGAAATCCTCATTAGTTTTTTGTTATAAAATACAGATGAGAAGCAGGAAAGGCCAGAGGGCAGATATTCACATCTTTACCAACTGTCTAATTTAGCTGTCCTATGTCTGTTATATACCATATGACTCATAGTAAAGAAGAAAACCCCCCATCCAGAATGCCAGGTTAACATAAAATTTTAAAACAGCAAGAGTGGGAACCATAACATCACATTGGGAATGAGGTCCCTGCACGCTGAGATTTCACTATCTTGCAGTAAAATGTGCACATGTACGCTCTGTGTGCCTGAAATTTTATTCATAAAGAACATGCATAACAGAGATTAGAACCACAATGGACTCTATTCTGTGAGACAAAGGAATGGACAGAGGAAAAGAAATCTGGATGAGGAGATTCAGTGAACCAGCCTCAGAAAATGGAAGCAAGTGTTTCTTACACTTTCTAACACACAAATGGACAAATGCACAAAATCAAAGCTTAGTAGAGAGTTGTATCAATTATCGTTTCCATGCTCAACCATTTAGGTCCCTTGACAGAACATTTCAGAATTACTAATTTTCCAGATGGTAGGAGGCAGTGTATAAAGCAATGCTAATGTTTCCATCATAAAATACATAATATTACACTCTAACAAGTGTACTCATTTATTTAATCTCATTTCTAACCTCACAAAATCAGAGCAACCTTTCTATCACTGTGGCCCAATTAAAGCTTTCACACAAAAACAAGTCATGCGGAGAGTCCTGATCTTTCTGAATAATGTGTACAACTGAAAAGGTCTGAGAATCACAGGCCCAAAGCTTGTGGCCAGGCAGGTGGGAATAAAATCTAAAGGATGGAAAGATTATGAATGTGGATTGACTTCACATTTACCACATTTACGACCTCAGTGGTAAACTTCTAGCTTTCTGAACAGCTCTCCTGTTTTGTATGTAGTGGAAAGCCTGAATTTCCTTTTGTCATTATCAGAATAATTTCACTGTCACCTGTCACACACGTTGCTACACAGGATACATGTCACCTGTAGGCTGTCCTTCTCCTCAAAGCCCGTGCTTTTGAATGAAAGTGATCTAATGACCCCTTACTCTATCCACCCATGTATTAAGCAGTTACCATATCAAGGCCCTACCCTCAACTTGTATATAAGACTATTAACAAAAGAGCTCAGAAATGTGCATTTTAACAAAGTTTGAGAACTCATGGTAGGAACACGGACCATTCTACTGCTTTAATTGTGACACCTAATTCACTCTCCTAAGGATAATATCAAAATCTTTAAGTTGCAAATTTAATTTTTAAACTCCCCCTTATAGAGGGTCCACAGACTTAATTCACAGGGCTTACTTAACCCAAATTTTTATGCCATAGATAGTGTCTAAAAAAAAAAAAGAGGATAGGGTTTCAGGCGCCTGGGTGGCTCAGGTGGTTAAGTATCTGCCTTCAGCTCAGGTCATGATCCCAGGGTCCTGGGATCGAGCCCCACATCGGGCTCCCTGCTCAGCGGGGAGCCTGCTTTTCCCTCTCCCTCTGCTGCTCCCCCTGTTTGTGCTCTCTTGCTCTGTCAAATAAATATAAAATCTTAAAAAAAAAAAAAAAAAGGATAGGGCTTAACTCCATGTAGAAGCAAGTACATGATACAGGCCATGTTGCAAATTACTGGAGCAGAGATGGCCTTTTTATAAATGATGCTGGACAACGATTAGCCGTTTGGAAAAAGAGAAAATTACAGCCATTTCTCATATCATACACAAGAATAAATCCCAAATCAATCCGTGAATAGGAAAAAATGCCTCTTTCTTATTGCCGTCCACTCTCACACGACTACCACACTCCCAACACTTCTGACGCCAGAGGTGTGGGTTTTCCATGCCAAGCAACCCCGACACTAACTGCCTGGACTTAGCGCAGGCCCCAGAGGCTAAGGCTAAGTCCCAAACGACTGCCCCTGCCCCTTCTGGTGCCAGCTACAAGCAGTGGGCTGTCAGGTTACCCACAGCCTCTGTCTGATTTGGCTGCAAATCAGAGGTCCCCACAACCCCTTCCCCAAGGTCCAGTGATGTGTTAGGGCAGCTCCCTGAACTCAGGCAAACAGTTTACTTACTGTTGTTGACTTACCACAAAAGGTATTTTTAAAGATACGGAAGAGCAGCCAGGTGAACAGACACATAGAGCAAGGTGTGGGAGAGTCCTGAGCACAGGAGCTTTTGTCCCTTTGGAACGGGCACCACCCTTCCAGCAGGTACATGTGCTCCCCAACCCAGAAGCTCCCCAAACCCAGTACTTTAGGGCTTCTTCTGGAGGCTTCATCACAGAGGCATGATCACTCATTAATTCATTTTCCAGCCCTCTCTGGAGACTGGAGGGGGAGAGAGGGATGAGGCTAAAAGCTCCAGGCTTCTAATCATGGCTTGGAAGTAGAGATATCCCAGCAGCAACGGGCACAGCGAGTGCACAGATCTTGATTTCTAATACCGTTCTGTACCAAAAGGAACCAGTGGTCCTCGGAGAAGTGGCTGAAAGCAGGACTGGAGAAGAGTGAGCCTGGAACTACAAAACGGGCCTGGAACATTTTGTTACATCAGCAGATAAGGATGCGCTTCAAAGAATAATGGAAATAGGACCAAGGCACAGTGAACCAGCTTGATGGGACTCTGGCCAAATCTGGAATAATCTGAGCTCAAAACTAAATAAGACTAATAATTATAGACCATTTGGGAACCAGGAAGCCATGTGTCCATACAGATCATACATACATACACACACACACACATACATACGGGAGAAGGGAGGGTTCTTGGTTACGTAGACTATCACGTGCTGCCTGGTAAACGTGCAGAGGGTGCTGAGGGGGATCACCTTCACTGTGTAACCACTGTAATAAAGTTTAGGCAAGAATCCTTCATTGATGCTAAATCTCAAGGGAAACTTAATGGCAAGCAGGATATCTGCATGATCTTCAAGTGTCCACAACCTGCTTACTAGTCGCAAGGGAGAAAATAGCAGCTGCAGAGAGAGAAGCTGGACAGCGCTTTCACCATGGGATGAACGTGGACATCCCTCCTGAGGGGCGGATGGACATCACGTGTCTCCAGACATACCTCTGAGAAGCACAGAGTGTAACCGAGTAGGGAACGCGTAACCGAGTCTCATCAAGAGGAAACATCACACAAACTCAAAATGAGGAGACTCCTGTGTTTAAAAAGTGGGAGGACTCTATCTATCTTTAAAATTGTCAATGTCCTAAAAGACAAAGAAAGCCTATGGAAGTGTTTCAGAGATTAAAGAGACTTAACAACTAAATGCGATACCTGTCCCTGACAGAATCCTGTACTGGGGGTGGGGGGAGGTGGGGAAGAAGCTATAAAGAATATTTCTGGGACAATGGGAAAATTAAAATCCAAATTAGAGAAAAGTATTAATGTTATATTACCAAAGTTGACAACTGCCTTGTGGTTATGTAAGAGCATACTCTTTTTTTTTTTTTGAGAGAGAGAGAGCAAGAGAGAGAGAGCATGAGCGGGGGGAAGGGGGAGTAGGGGCAGAAGGAGAGGGGCAGAGGGAGAGCAGAGTCCCCGCTGAGCAGGGAGCCTGATGAGGGACTCAATCCCAGGACCCTGAGATCATGACCCAAGCCAAAGGCAGACATTTAACTGACTGAGCCACCCAGGCGCCCAAGCATACTCTTATCCTAAAAAATACTGACATATTTAGGGATAAAGGGTCATGATGTGTGAAACTGATTCTCAAATGCTTTAGGTAAAATAAAATAGCATGTGTGTATACACACATTGTTATATAAATGTATATGTACATATTCATATACGTATGTGTGTATTTGTATTATGTATGGATGTGCATATGTGCAGACAGAAAGAGAGAAGAGAGCATGCACAAATGATCAAGCACATTGCATAAAATGTTAGCCAGAGATGAAGGTGAAGAAAGGGTTAACTATTTATCATACTATTATTATTCAAGTAACTTTTCTCTAAGTTGGAAATTCTTTCCAAATAAGTAAAAAATACACACACACACACACACATATATATACACATAAACACACATATACATAAGTACATACCCATATGCCTTCAAGAAATGTTTGATGACTTCCCAGTGGATTTCATGATATGTAAAGGATAAAAGAGAAAACCATGGTAACAAACATTTATGTATTAAAAATGTTAATCTCTCAGTCTCAGTCGGCTCTAAAGGTAGATAAAATGAACAGAAGGAAAAGAGATTAGGATGTTCACTTAGAAGATAAAGGTCCAATGACCAGAGGTAGTAAAATCAGTCAGTGAAAGGAGCCATCCCACTGGCCCTGATGGAAGGAAAATGAAAATTCCTGTGTCTCTGGGGCACAGAAACTCTTCATTC